GTGACAGCCAGAAATCGTGCTTGTTTGTAGGTGACCAAATACTTATTTTCCACCATTATTTGCAAAAAAATTCTTTAAAAGTCAGACAAAAAGATTTTCTCAATTTTTTTTCACATTTTGTCTCTCATAGTTGAGGTCTACCTATGATGTCAATTACAGGCCTCTCTCATCTTTTTAAGTGGGAGAACTTGCACAATTGGTGACTGACTAAATACTTATTTTCCCCACTGTATCAAATATACTAGGCACCATTAACTTGTGTACTAGAAAGTATACTGTGTTGACTGATTTGTTTATAAAAGTCTACTTTAAGTATGATGTTTTAATGTCTTTTTAAGTTGATAAAATTACCGAAAAGAAGTATATGTAGGTACGTCATTAAGTATATGAAACTATACAAAAGTGTATTTCCCCAAGTGTACTTTTATTTACCATGTACACTAAAATAAGTATACTARCAGTTTACTAACAAGTATACTTCTAGGACTAAATTGGCCCACAATAATTTTATGAAAGTATACTCAGAAGTACACTGAAAGTGATCTTTTAAGTGTACTTTTAGTTTAATCTTGAAATTTACTACAGGTATACCAGTCTGTTTGTACTTTCAGTGTACTACTAAAGTTTATCTTGGCCAAAAGTTTAAACATTAATATAGATTAGGTATACTCAAACTTTTAGTATACTTTTAGTACCAGCAATAGTGTAAGATAAACTTAGTTAAGTATCTCTCAGATTAGTACATAAACTGTAAGTTTAGTTTAAAACGAGTATACTTAAAGGATACTTGAATATACTAGTTTTTGGTAAGGGAAGAGGAGAATTAAGACGAGGAAACGGTAGTTGGTAAGTCCAGACTTGATAGTAATTCTGTCGTAGATAATTTGATGCAATAGATCAGAAAACACAGAATATAAAGATGTCTCTGCAGCACCAGGAGAGACTAAATTCAACTTTTCTGCCTCCTAGAGACTCTAAGTCTAAATCAAAATGTATTTAACAGCTAAAACAGTAGATTTTACAGGACATGACCCCTTTAAGACAAGCGGTTCATCAAACCAGAACAGAGGTTAGTGGTTCTGCTGGAAGCTGTGGACGTACCTGAGGACAGGAGCTGTGAGGGAGGCCTGGGTAGGTTTTAAAGCTGAGCATCTGAGGGTTAACTATGGACTTGAGTTTTTCTGCTGTCATGGCACCAAAATGCACGGGGATCATGTAGTCCATCTCGCCGTGGCACTGCAGGATGGGGAGGTTCTTGTTTCCGCTGGACGCCTGCGGGGACAAACAGAACCTCGGCCGGTTATCCAGCTTTACTCAACTCGTTCCCACGGTTCAACACACGTGGAGTTTTCCTCAGCTGTTCCAGAGCCCGTACCGAAGGGAAGCTCCTGTGGAGAGGAAGCCAGCAGCTGAGGGCCACGACGCCAGCCAGCTGGTGCTGGCAGGTCAGAGCGGTGTACAGGGACAGGGCGCCACCCTGAGGAAAAACAAACATTTATATAAAAACGTTGTTTTCTTATTAAAGACRACAGAAAGGTGAGCCTCACCCCACCTGAGAGAAACCACCCAGGATTATACGGTGTGGGGGGATCCCGTTTTTAGCCTCGTGTTCGATTATGGCCCTGACTGCAACCAAACAGGGACAGAAGTCAAGAAATATAGGAGATTACCACCAAATGATGCATTTGTCTCAGTAACAAAAGAAAGCTGAGGGGAGGTAAATCTGTTCCAAACTTTTAAACTCACTGTTTTCTGCCGCCTTCTTGATTCCYGCCTCGTCCTCCGGGGAGTCGGGGCTGAGACCCATGAGGTCGAACCTGCACACGGACGAGTCAACGTGAGTCAAAAGAATCAAACATGTCTGTGACATGTTCCATCCAGGCCACTCACCATGCGGGCATCGTGGACCTCATGTTGAGGGTGACGGGGATTTTAGGCCTGCATGGGGAGGAAGAGGAGCAATGTGTTTGTTTACAGGTTGAGATGAAGAGTCCAACCTGAGAGGAGAAAAACAAACGGGTTCTCACGCGTGAGGGCAGATGAACTTGACGTGAGGGAGCTGGATCGCCGCCAGRGTTTCTGCCCACCCGTGTCTGAAAGGAAACAGAAAACAGACGTCTGACGCTAAAGGCTAACGGCCCGCCATCTTTTGTTTTAGTAAAGACAGGAAACTGACTCACCCTGAGTCCCCCAAACCATGAAGGAAGATCATCTGCAACAAAAAGAAAAGAGTTTTCATCGTTTGTCTTGAAACTCCATTACAGACAAGCAGTTAAACGGTTTCTGTCAGGTTTCCTGTAGGTCATCTTTAGCTCTGACAGTTCTGACTCACCGCTGCGGTCTCCTTCTCCGACCCGGACACCGTCACAGCCTCGGCGAGCAGCGGTAAAGACATGTTGTTGCCACACATACACTGAAGGAGGTGCTGAAACCAGGAGACACAGAGACCAGAGATCAGCTGCCTGCAGAGCTACAAACACCAACCACCTGCCCTGGGCTTCAGCCTCTCATGTGGTATGAGGGCCAGTACTAAGACCATTGCACAACCAGCGGTTGCTACATCCTTGTAGCAGGAGGCTAAACCAGCTATTGATCTGATTAATGATTAACGACAGGCCGGCACTGGCAAACGAAAAGGAGACTATTTATTTGTGTTAGCATTGGAGAGGCTAGCTACTAGCATGGATAAGCTGCTGTTAGCATCGTAGAGAGTAGCTACTAGCATGGATAAGCTGGTGTTAGCATCGGAGAGAGTAGCTACTAGCATGGATAAGCTGGTGCTGGCATTGGAGAAGTTAGTGACTAGCATGTCTGGGCTAGTAACTGGATAGCCAACTCCCTCTGCTGTCCAGTGGTATGGAGAGGCTGGGGTTAGCATTGGAGAGGCTAGCGACTAGCATGGATAAGCTGGCGTAAGCATCAGAGAGGCTATGCATTAGCATGAATATAGAATGGCATTAGCATTGGAGAGGCTAGTGACTAGCAAGGATAGGCTGGCAATAGTATCAGAAAGGCTAGTGACTAGCGTAGATAAGCTGGTGTTAGCATTAGAGAGGCTATGCAAATGAATAGTCTCCTGATTTGCCTCTCAGTTTCTGGGCCCAGCTACTTTGGTCCTCATACCGCTCCATACTGATGGAGGTCGGAGTTTTTAATATCATTAATTCACAAACCTAACGTTCGCTTTCCAAAAAGTACAGATCTACATCAGAGCAATCATTGGTCATAAATTCYTCTCCATATCAGCTCTGYTGGYTGAAYGRCTTCTTTGATTCGTCTCTAATCTGTTTCCTTTGAAAGCCGATGAATTCATCTGTTGTCCTCTGACCCTGATGGGCAGATGGACAGGGGCTCTGCAGAMACATGTGGAGTGATAACTGGATCTAAATGCTTCAGCTGCTGAGCCTCGAGTCAGTCTTACTGCAGCAGCAGAGCGGTCGGACTCATTAACTAAATGAAACTCTGCTGTAAATCCACCGCAGCTCGTTGGGAGTCGGGCGCTGATAAYGAGCAGCAGATCAGGAGGTTTCACTTTAAAGTCCAGCCGTAAAGGATTTTGGACGATGTGTGACAGGACGGGCGGGTCAGACGAGGGGAACGTCTTAACGAAGGTTAATGAGTAAACCAGCAGGAAAACTCCTAATAACGAGAGTTAAATTCCACAGAGTCTGTGAAGGTCAGAAAAACAGCAGAAACACCTGCAGGCAGGTAAATGTGTGACTTCAGGCTGCAGCGTGTGCGGAAAACAGGCTGTTGTTTTTGTCCTGCAGCTTGACCCGGGATAAATAAGTAATAAACGGGAGGCTTCTGCTGCCGCACTGGCCGAAGAGCCGAGGATCAAATCCAACAAGATCACCAGGAAAACGTCCTTGTGGAAAAAACATGAACGTTACTGAACCACCATGTTCACTTCAGGGCCAGATTTTACTTKGACRTTTTCAGACTATTGATGCTTTGACTTCCTAAAGTCTGTAAGAGACCATAAACCACCTGTCATTAGGTCTTTTAAACTGATTTTAAGCTAAACATCATCAGCTTCATTTGTCATCTTCAGCTCTGTTAACATTCAGCGGAACGCCCGCGTGCCGTTTTGTATTTGTTTTATTTTGAAATATATCATTTTCCTGTTCCACCTGTGTCCGTGTGCAATGCATCAAACTTGACGCCAGGCCCTCCTCTTTCGACTGACACCTCATTTGACCAACTGGGTTCAAGTTTCRGCTGTCCAGGGCCAATAAAATCTCAGTAGTGACTAATTTCCGGTTTTCGTTTTTCTAGCTTTGATTGACTGTAAAATCGGCCAATCAGCTCCGAGCTTCGTTCTGAGTACAGTGTTATGTTTTACCAACACTGTACAGTGTTATGTTTTACCAACACTGTACAGTGTTATGTTTTACCAACACTGTACAGTGTTATGTTTTACCAACACTGTACAGTGTTATGTTTTATTAACACTGTACAGTGTTGTTTTATTAACACTGTACAGTGTTGTTTTATTAACACTGTACAGTGTTGTTTTATTAACACTGTACAGTGTTAATCTGTGTTAATTTTTAACTCTGTTTAGACTTAAATTGTACTCTGAAAATTTAACACTATGGAAAGAGTTAAATTGACACCAGTTCTGATTAGGACCAAACAGACTTGGACACAGTGTTAAATTTAACTCTTTAAGTGTTGATTTAACACTGTGTAGGTAATCCCCATAACTTTAATTGATTTGTTTGTCTCATCTCTCCCTCTTACTCTGACACACACATCCACTCATTCATGGTTTTAACGTAAACCTGCCTTTACCTCACTTGTTTAGAAATAAGCTTGTTAGTCTTATCGTTTATTAGTTTGTCATATCGAGAGCTCAGTTGTAATCTCTTTCTTATTTTTTTGTTGTTGTCAATAAAAGCCTGGTTACATTGTAACAGGGAGAAAATTAATTAATGACTCTTATTGTTTTCTATGGTTTGAAAACTGGGTATTTTTCGCCAGCGGGCTCCTGAACCCTCATTTACCCTTATTTAAACTATTGAAACATTATATATGTTACTTCAAGAGGTATTTATCTACAACTGCAAAATTTACTGTGTAGCTGAGATCGCAGCTCCTCTTCATCACAACAAACACGTGGACATATTGACCAAAAACAAACATGACAAATGTTGTATACTGATGATCAGCTGCCATGATTTCAAACCCATCTAGTGATTTATGAGATATTTTGCTAACAGACAGGGAGGCCAATGAGTCAAAGATGCTGAGCTCAGAGAACGTATCCGGGTGGTGCTCAGCTACTACCACACCAACTGTCAGCTCAGAAGTCGTGAGTAAAATGATTTTCCTCTGATAGATTTGTATGAAAGCACCAACAGCAACGTGTCACTTGACTGTTTTATAATTAATTCAATAAAGCTCCTTAAAAAAGCAAGAAATAAGTCAAATCACGAGCTTCCATCCTGCGTGACTCCAATAACAGAAACAGGCGGGGGTGTCCGCGCAGCGCCTGATCAGAAACATCGGCAGGATCGGTGATTAATTTAATCTGCGGCACGGTGAGTGACAGGCGGCCCGCTGCTCAGCCTGGAGCCCGCAGCAGCTCCAGCTCAGGGCATTAATCTGATCTGACCCGTTAGCATCGCGGCTGTCGACGAGCCCGGAGACAATGTATGGCTCCAGCTTTTAGCCCCGATCATCACGGCGCGAAGAAAGCCTCTGTTGCCCCAAAAACACATCGACTCCCCGCCCTCACACCAGGGTTTAATCCCGCTTTAGCTAACACACACACACACACACACACACACACACACACACACACACACACACACACACACACACACACACA